TCCTTAATCCTCAACCCCCCCAAATCCTAAAATAATTTTCTCATTTCCCCCATACCTCCTGGAGTAAAAGCCTTAGATCTCCAGTGCTAGCATTGCATTGTGTCGTAGATCTTCCAGTAGAAATGGATGGTTGTCTTGTCACAATACCAGATATAATAATACACCAAAAATAGGCGGTGATAATCCAGCCATTAGGGGAGTGAATGGTACTGGCCTGTGTGCTAGTTACTCAATAACTAGCAATACTTGTGGGGAAGGGATAGCTCAGTGGTTTGCGCATTGGCCTGCTAAACACAGGGTTGTGAGTTCAATCCTTGAGGGGGCCACTTAGGGATCTGGGGCAAAATCAGTACTTAGTCCTGCTAGTAAAGGTAGGGGGCTAGACTTGATGACCTTTCAAGGTCCCTTCCCGCTCTAGTAGATAGGATATCTCCATTTAAAAAAAAAAAAAAGTATTGCATAGGCTACTTGTAGTGTTTAGTCTTGATCACATGAATATTTAGCGGCGTTTCATGCTTGAGAACCATGGTGCAAATCTTTCTCATCAGTACTTGACAACATCAGTATCATTTCGTATTTCATGCCCTGGTCTTAGACCTGCCAGTATTTGCAATTGTACTCATCAGCTCCAATGTACATTTTATTTCATGCTGCTGAGTTAACCCTTCTGTTCTGTTCAGATACAAAGAGTGTTTTTATGTAAGGGCGGGGGTCGGGGGGGAGGGTCCTGTTGTATCTGGATCCTTCAGCTATTTACTTTCATTGGCCCCATTTGGGTCCCTTCCTCTCTGATTATGGTGACCGTCACAATTATGATTATGGCAGCAATATCTTAGCTAAATCCATGGACACGGTGTTCAGAAGGGGTATTTACTGTGTGTTACTAGATGAAGAAATCAGTCAACTGTCCTTGTACAGCAGCTATGTAATGGTCCTGTCTTGTCAATAACTCCTTTCATACACACTACTGCACCCTTTTAGATAGAATGTGTCTTTTATAAAAGTTCAACATTTTCTGTGTAATCTTAATACTTTTTATGAGAAGTTTCATTTAGTAAAAAAACAATTTTCTGTCAAAAAATCAGTTTCAATGGATAATTTTCCACCAGCCCTAGGTGAGAATCCGTATGTGGGAATCTGTAACAGGATAACAACATTGGAGAGAAAAATCAAGCCCAAGCTAGCTGTTCACTTAAACCTCTGATTCCAGACAGCTTCCCCATTCAGGACAGCTCTTAACTTTACCTTCTTGAAGTCAAAGCGTTGTCAACTTGAGCTTAAGTGCTTTCCTGAATTGGGCCCTTAGTCCCAATTCAATTGCTCTCGATTCTGATGCCTTTGGATGTTAGCTCAAGAGCAGAGCCAGGCTCAGATATCTTCTATCACAGTGTTTTCCAAACTTGGGATGCCGCTTGTGTAGGGAAAGCCCCTGGCGGGCCGGGCTGGTTTGTTTACTTGCTGCGTCCACAGGTCCGGCTGATCACGGCTCCCACTGGCCGCGGTTCGCTGCTCCAGGCCAATGGGAGCTGCTGGAAGCGGCGCGGGCCAAGGGACGTACTGACCGCCACTTCCAGCAGCTCTAGCAGCGGTCGCGGCAGGTAAACAAACCAGCCTGGCCCGCCAGAGGCTTTCCCTACATAAGCAGCGTCCCAAGCAGGGCCGGCTCTAGGATTTTTGCCGCCCAAGGCAAAAACAATTTTGGCCGCCCCCCCCACCCGTTTTTTAATTACCCCACCCCTGGCCCCGCCTCAACTCCGCCCCTTCCCCCCAGGCTCTGAAGCCTAGGAGGGAGGGGGAGAAGCGGTGCGCGAAACAGCTGATTCGCGCACCGCTACTCGCCCTCCCTCCCAGGCTCTCAAGCCTGGGAGGGAGGGCAAGTAACGGCGCGTGAGCGGCAGCAGCAGTGGAGGTGAGCTAGGGCGGCCGGGGCACATTTTTAGGGGTGGCATTCTGGCGCCGGCCATGCCACCCTTAAAAATGTGCCACCCCAAGCACCAGCTTGTTTTGCTGGTGCCTAGAGCCGGCCCTGGTCCCAAGTTTGGGAAACACTGGTCTATCACCACTAATACGGCCTTGGAAAGTCTGAATAGCACAGCTCTGGAACTACTGTCCTACTCCAGATTTCTGGAGCATGAAGGTGATAAGGCTACATATCTCAGAACATTTCACTGTGGCTTGGTCTACATTAGACATTTTACCAGTAAAATGTTACTGCTATCGCCACAGGCTTGCCTGCATCCACACTCAGATCTGAGTCCTGTGAACAAAAGCCTGAACTTTTGCTGGCAAAATTAAACCAGTCTTCAGACGGTATGATTCTACTGGCAGGATGCCTGTGTGGACGCAGAAGTACCTGTACAGACAAATACAGTCCTCCAGCAACAAACCCACAGTGCAACAGTCCCTGCAGCAATGACCTCTCTGGTCAAAGTTTTTAACTCTGCTGTCGCGGGGTCACAGTGTCTGAAATCTGCCCCCCTGTAAAGCATGTTCTGGGAATATCTCTTTACCCGCCTGCCACCTTTACAATCACAGCTGTACAAGCATGGCTCCAGCTGAATTGCGTGCTGCTGCCCGGTCCAGCAAAGAGGTGCTAGCGTTCCTTGGCCTGTCGTGGGAAAGCGCTGTGAAGGCACAGCTGTGGAATTCCTACAGGAACAAAGATCTAGCTCTTGCTATTGCAAAGAAGATGCAGAAGCTGGGTTACAACATGGACAAGAACCAACACTGGGCAAAGGGGAAGAAGCTGTAGCAGGTTTACCAGGAGCAAAGGAGGACAACAGAAAGTCTAGCACTGCTCCCAAGAGCTGCCACTATTATAAGGGTTTCAATGCCACACTGAGTCGGGATTGCACCCTGGACCTGCAGGCTGAGGAGAAGCTGAATGAGGAGAGGGATGTGGAATATGCAGGCCCAACCAAGAACCAGTGGCTCTTGGAGACCCAGCTGAACCCAAAGAGAGAACTCAACACTGGGAAAGGGGCCTAAGGTAGGTGTAATTTACTGCCCCCCAGTAATGCACAACATACGTTCTTCAGAGGTCTTGAAATTTCAATCTCCTCCCTTTTTCCTCTCCCTCTCTCAAAATGGCAGTGGACTCTGCAGGGAACAAAGGAATTCTGTTTTAAAGTAGCTGGTTTATTTTAAGAGCATGAACTGGCAGTAACAGGCAAAACTGACCGAAAGAAAACAGGAATAGGACATACTTTTGCCAGTACTTTTGCTGCCATTCAAAGTACACACTTCTGCAGGCAATGCTTGCCGGTAACCAAATCATATGCACTGCAATAGAAAAAAAAAAAACCCACTTGCACTGATTGTAAGCTACATGCAAACCAATAAGTGATAATTCAAACGACATGATTTTGAAAAAAATGCTTTGTAAACTGATTGGATGCAGGTTTTCAAGTCCAGAACACATTACCTGCAGCCTGTGATTAGATGCAGGAAAGTGGTAGAAATAATGTATGGTTAACTGGTGGGGAGCTGGCTTGGACTGGCTCACATTGCTATCTGGCAGTCATAGGCAGGGGTGAAAGTAACTTAAAGGACTTACGGGTACTCCAGAGTCCTTGGGAGGGGGAGGGGCCTCAACCAGAAGAGGTGTGGCCTCTACCGGAAGAGGCGGGGGCCTTTAAATCCCCAGGCGCTTTAAATCAGGATTTAAAGGGCCCGGGGCTGGGACTGTGGTAGCAGCAGCTGGGAGCGCCAGGCCCTTTAAATCACCCCTGGAGCTACCAGCTGCAGAAGTGGCTGGGAGCCCCGGGGGTGATTTAAAGGGCCCGGGGTTCCAGCTGCTGCTATCGCAGTGGAGCCCCAGATCCTGTAAATCACCATCGGAGGGGGCCCCGGCCTCTGGCGGAGCTTTAAAGGGCCTGGGGCTCCGCTGCAGTAGCTGCAGCTGGGAGCCCCTGGCCCTTTAAATCACTGCCAGAGCCCCGCCACCGCTACCCCAGGGCTCCAGCAGCAGGGCTCGGGTGGCCATTTAAAGGGCCCCAGAGGGTAGTGGCAGTGGAAGCCCCGAGCCCTTTAAATGGCCACCCGAGCCCCACTGCCGGAGCCCCGGGGTAGCAGCAACAGCCGGGGGCTCGGGGGATGATTTAAAGGGCCCAGGGCTCTGGCTGCCGCTACCACCCTGGGCCCTTTAAATCGTCCCTGGAGCCCTGCTGCCGGAGCCCTGGGGAGGCGGTGGCGGGTCTTCAGCAGCTATTTTAAGGGCTGGGGCGGTAGCGGATGCCGCAGCCCTGGATCCTCTAAATAGCCACTGAAGCCGCGCTGGCAGGGCTCCGGAGATGATTTAAAGGGTCCGGGGCGGTAGCTGCGGTGTACCAGCTTACTTTCACCTCTGGTCATAGGGGCCCTCTGCCACTTGTGGAGGTGCCCATTTAGCTGTGCCCGCACAGCTTTCTGGCCCTCTGCGACAATTTCACTGAACTTTTCACGCAAGGAGAATGTGATCTTTGCTCAGACATTTCAAGGCAGAGCAGCGTAGTTTCTCCTGCCAGAGTAGGGCACCTTCCCCACCACTCTGTACAGACCTCTTAGGGGATCATTGCTCCAAAGAGGCTGTCAGTACGAAGAGCCCCAGGCAACCATGTCCCTTGCATTCCCAACGGACAATATGGAGGACTGCTTTGAATACACCTACACTGACCTGCACCTTGCATCCAAAGCACCTTGTACTTTCTTTTTTAACAGCAGCCAAATGTGAATGCACTGTGCCAAAATAGCTGTGTTGGCAGGAGTATTCTGGCAGAACTTTCGGCGGTAAAACTTTTGAATGTAAGCAGGGCCTGTTTGTAGGCATACTTCACTGCATTAGTGCCTGGTTCCCACCCAACCCCCCCTTTGATGTCGCTTACGCTAGCCCCAGTTTCTTTCCTCCCGTAGATGTGTGTTTGAATGTTATTGAACAATACGGAACCGTTTATGACTAATTATGACTAGGTCTGAAGTTGCAGAAGATGTTTAAAGAATGAATCAGTGTTCTTGTTCTTTTCCAGCAGAGGCCCTCACCTCCTTCACCCACCAGCCTGACCAAGGGTGGATGTCAAGGGAAATCTCTCCCACCGCTCATTCTGTAAGTCGAGTCAGTTTCCCTCCTTTAGGGCCCCAATATAAATCAATTGCGTTAAGAGCTAAAGAATTTGCAGGCTACAGAAACTGGCCAGCAAACACTGTTCTATGCTCAAGCCCACTTTCCTCACAAATGTAGCTAATGGGGGCGGAGAGTCTCTTAGGGTATGTCTACACTACGAGGGTAATTCGATTTTACTTAAATCGAATATGTGGAATCGATATTGCAAAGTCGAACGTGTGTGTCCACACTAAGGACACACTAAGGACAGTAATTCGACTTTGTGAGTCCACACTAAGGGGGCGAGCGTCGATATTGGAAGCGGTGCACTGTGGGCAGCTATCTCACAGTTCCCGCAGTCCCCGCTGCCCATCGGAATTCTGGGTCGAGCCGCCAATGCCTTCTGAGTAAAAAAAATTTGTCGTCATCCGTCCGTCACTAACGCCCTCCCTCCCTCCATGAAAGCGCCGGCGGGAAATCAGTTCGCGCACTTTTCTGGTCAGTGACAGCGCGGACGCCACAGCACTGCGATCATGGATCACGCTGCGACCATCGCTGCACTTGTGGCCGTTCTCAACACCTCGCAGCTTATCATACACCTTTCCCTGAGGCAGATGCAGAGAAATCGGGCGAGGAGGCTACGGCACCGCCGTGAGAGCCTGAAGTCGGAGAGTGGCACAGAGCTGTCAGAAACCACGAGCCCCAGCGCCCAGGACATCACGGTGGCAATGGGGCATGTGGATTTTGTTGAACGGCGATTCTGGGCCCGGGAAACAAGCACGGACTGGTGGGACCGTATAGTGCTTCAGGTCTGGGATGAATCCCAGTGGCTGCGAAACTTTCGCATGCGGAAGGGGACTTTCCTCGAACTTTGTGAGTTGCTGTCCCCTGCCCTGAAGCGCAAGGACACCCGCATGCGAGCAGCCCTCACTGTCCAGAAGCGAGTGGCCATAGCCCTCTGGAAGCTTGCAACGCCGGACAGCTACCGGTCAGTCGCGAACCACTTTGG